GGGACGCTGGCCCAGAAAAGCCCTCCAGGCCTCCAGGCTGCCTCCACAGGGGACCCTCCTCCTGCTCCTGGGGCTCCGCTCTCTACTGAGCTCCACCTGGGGCGTCTCCCCCACCCCTAGGCTCTCTGCTCCGTGCATTTACACCTGCCACACAGAAGATGTCAAGGACAGAGCACCAACTGGCCCCGCAGCGACCTCTGGCGTGGCCTCAACCTCAGTTTCCTCATCAGTAAAACCAGCTTGGGAATGAATGCCCCGGAGCCAAATTCAAGAAACAACCCAGCAAACATTGGGCACCTACTGTGTGCTGAAGTCCAGGATGTCATGAGGCACAAAGGGACTGTGCTAGCTGCCAAGCACCATGGGGGGCTCTGGCCAGTGGCCCCCTGACATTGACACCTCCGCCCGCCAGCGGCAGACGGTCGCCCTGCGCGGCCCTCTCCAGATGCGCCGGGGCTGATTTTCTGAGCCCCATCCAAAAAGCTTCTAGGGTGTCAACTCCCTCTTTTGGCTGAGTCAGGGACCTGGGTTTCCCGACATCTGTCCCCATCTGCCCTCTGTCCCCTCTCCAGCCTGCTGTCTGGTGGGTGGGACAACAGGGATCTCTCTCTCTCTCTCTCTCTCTCTCACACACACACACACACACACACACACACTCTCGCACACTCACCCTGGCACAGAACCTCATTTCTGCAGCTCATCAGCTCTGTGACCCTGGGCAGTTGGCGCCATCTCTGAATCTGACCTCTCGTGGCTTTGGGGGTTACGTGGGCTCATGCAGTGGGTGGACCCCTGCCGGTCATGGAGGGGCTCCCTGGTCCTTACCAGACCGCGCAGCGGCCCACCCCTGCCTGGATGGGACTCCTGGGGGTGCAGGCGTCATGGGGGAGGCCAGTGTCCTCTAGGATCCTCTGGCTTTGACTTGGCCCAGTTGGTGGGGGGAGGCCTGCCCTGCCCAGGGCTGTTCTCACCCTTGTCCTTTCTTCTTGGTCCAGGGGACACAGAGCAGCACCCCGTCCTCTTGTCCTCTTTCGTTTTAACTGGAGACAGGGCCTCCCTGAGCTGCAGAGGCTGCCTGACCTTGCCGTCCTCCACCCCTGCCTCAGCCTCTGGGGCTGCTGGGGACCCAGGTGTGTGTCTCCGAATCCAGCTCCTGTTCGACAGCCACACGGGGTGAGGGGGACTGAGGCTGCTGTCAGGCAGGGACCGAAAGTCCAGTCCTGCCCTCCCGGGGACTCTGAGGCGAGCCCCGGTGCCGGCCCTCCGTCTCCCCCCTGTCCTCGCCTCCATGCTTCCCGAGCTCCCGCCTTCCTCGTGGTCACTGAGGAACACCCGCTTGCCCTCCAGACAGGCCCTGGTCCCCCCTGGCCCCCCTGAACTCAGGTGCCCACAGGTGTCGGGTGCAGCCTGCGAGAAGCCCCGTGCCCAGCCCCCGCTCTGCGTCTCCTCCTCCTGTGTCCCCCGCAGTCCCAGTCCCAGGCTTTCCCACCCGGGAGCGTCCCCAGCCTGGCACCGCCTGGGGGTGTTGGGGAGGGGACACAGGCCTTGAGCGGGCCAGGCAGTGTGCCCCGGGACCCCCCCCCCACCCCGGAGTTCCCGTTCTGTCACTGGATTCCCCAGTCCTGGCGCAGGGTCCCCCCGGGGCCCAGAGCTCTGATGGCACTGGTTCTTAGGGCTTGGGAGGCAGTTGGAGAACTGGGCCCTCGCCCGGCTCATGAGCCCATCCCTCCCGTGTCCCAGAGGAGTGTGCTCTCTCAGGGTACTGGGTATGAGGGTGTCTTACCACATTCTCAGTTTGGAATCCCGGAAACCTTGAAGTGCAGAGCTTTTGAGTGTTAGAATCCAGAATCCTAGTTTAGAGCACTCACCCCCGGAATTCAGATCCCAGCTCTGCTGCTTATTAGCTGTGTGACCTTGAGTGAGTTACCTAACCTCTCTGTGCCAAAGGTGCCTCATCTGTAAAACAGCAGCAGCAATTTCGTAAGATGTGTTCAGGATTAAAAGTGTTAATGTTTGTCAAGGGCTTTCACCAGGGCCAGGCACAGATAATTGATCTGCGAGCATTTAAGAAACCAGTCCGCCTGCGTTCTGAGGATGTCGGAATCTTTATCTTTGTCCTCATAGGATCTGTAGATCTAGAAGGAACCTCATCTCATGTTCTAGGGCAGGAAGCCTGACACAGCTTCCCCAGTGGAGGATGCCACTGGAGAAGGTGGGGGTGGGCGTCAAAGGGGGTGAGAGGGAGTCCCCACTGTCAGGGGATGCGTTGGAGGGTCCAGGCTGAGATCCACGTCACCCGCCTCCTGGCGGACACCCTGCAGGCCTGGAGGGGCTGGTGTGCCTGCAGCTGATGCGGCCTTTGCAAACACCAGCCTCAATATAAATAGCAATAATGAATAAATGAAGCTCCCGCAGCGGCCAGAGCCTCGGGGAGGGACTGCCCAGCCTTCCTGCAGCCTGGGCGGGAGCCACACTCCCCTCCCCCAGGGGTGGTGGATCCTTTCTCCTCCTACTTCCTTCTTGGCTTTTAGTGTCCACAGGACCCACTCATTGTCCTGCAGGGAGGGGTGGATGGACTAGTGGACAACCAAGGCTTTACTCGAAGCATAAAGCATTCAGGTTAGATATAAAGCAGGACTTCTGCAGGCGTGGGTGCTTGTAGGAGGCTGGGGGGGGGTGTCTCGCTGGGAGAGGGACAGGAGGATCATTTCTGCTCAAATACAGAAATAGAGAACTTTGTTCAGAGCTGCTCAGAGAGCAAAGGAACTGTCCCAAGAGGTGTGCGACTATGTCACCGTGGCCACATTGGGGGGCTGCAGCTGAAGGAACCCAGACCGCAGAATTCACCACCTGATGGGTCTCAAGGTCCTGGGAGCCTCCGAACTTGGTGAAACGTGTGGAGGAGGATGGGGAGAGGAGCAAGGCGGTATCCGCTCTGGCCCTCAAACCAGATTTCTTCCACCCTCGGGCCTGGGCTCTTCAACTGCACCCCAGCTGGGGGCTTGGAGGCCTGCTAGGCTGCTCAGTGTCTGCCTCCGTGACTCTCCTGATGTTGTGGGGCCACCTTCCTCCTCTCAGGTCTCAACCCTGTCCACTCCCATAAGGCTCAGCTCAAGTATTTCACCTTTGATGAGACCGCTCCTGAAGCCCCTCTGATCCGAAATCCACTTATCCAGCTGGGGACGCTGATCTGTTGGAGTCACACCTACAGGGCGTCTTGTGGCCTAGTGGGTACTTTCAGGACCTCGCATTGTGGTCTGGTTATGAAGGGTTTTCTCAGTGACAAAGGTTTATCTTGTCTCCCTGGACAGAATCAAAGATAGCAAGGGATAAAGGTTTGTTGAGCAACTACTATGCTCCAGGCACCGTGTTAGGTCCTTTAGAAACTGTTTGCACCTTGGGAATGTGAACTTTTATTTCCATTCCACAGGGGGCGGGGGGGGGGGACCTGGGGTCCAGATGTTCTGGGGCTTGCCCATCCCCCCAGTCAGGAAATGGCAGAGTGAGGACCAACCAACTTCCCCAAGGCTGCGCTTGTCTGCAGAACAGCAGCCCCAGGGCAGCCCCAGCTTCCTCCCCCAGGACCCAGACCAGTGTGATGTCCCCACCACATTCTGTTCTCCAAGGAAGTGGGAAGGGCTGAGCTGGTGACCCAGCGTGGAGGGACACCTGGGTGGTGCTTGGGGAATACTGGAACACCGGGGGCTCCTGCTTCCCTGCAGAGTAACCTTGGCTGGGTGCCTCACCTCTGGACTCAGTTTTATCATCAGTAAAATGGAGGCAAAGGGTGGACTTCCAGGAGGTGCTGGGCACATAATAGCTGCTCATTAAATGCTTGGGGAGTTGCAGAACCGTGAGCAATTTGACCTGTCTGTGAGAGGCTCTGGATGCCTCTCATTTGTTTGGGCACAAATGAATCAATAAAAGGGGATGTTAATCTCGAACACTCCCCTGTCCCCAAATGGTAGCCCTGAGGGAGAAGGGAAGGGAGACATGGCTAGGGCATGGGATTGGGGAACTGGCCATGTGAAGGACTGCCCCCTGGGAGTGGAGAGGCTGAGTGAGGCCCTTGCAGCTGGAGAAGGCGCATCTGTCTCACCTGGGGGCCCTCCAAGAAGCCTTCCTGAAGGAGGCGGCCTTCCTAAACCGAGGCTGGAAGAAAGGTGCGAATGAGCAGTGGGCAGGCAACCGGGGCTGGCAGCTGGCGACCTCTGGAGGGGTTCGGCCCAGCGCCGCCGTTAGGAGCGGGCGGACTCGGGCGGGTGGTCCCAGAGGAGGGCACACCCCCCACCTCGCGTCTCAGAGACCTCTGGAGTGTGGGAGCCCAATCAAGCGCTGGCACTCGGCTGGGTCACCGATAGGGTTTCCCTTTTACGCATGACGCAGTCCCAGACTGAGGGGCCAGGACCCTCCCCTGGGCACGACCCTGAATTTTCAGGAGGTGGCCGCGGGGCGGGGGCCTCCTGGCCTCCGGGAGGGGTGCTCACCGGCCGGCGCCGTCATTCAGTCTGTCGCCTCCACGCCTCCCCCCTCCAGCGTCCCGCGCCTGCAGCTTTCCCCGAAGACATTTGGTGTCAGTATAAGGACGGTTTTCCTCGCACGCGGCGCGGCTCGGTCTCGCCGCCGCCGCACGTCCCCGCACCGCCGGGCGCTCGGGCTCCTCCGCGGCCCCCGCCGCGCAGACCCCGCGCCTCGAGCCCGGGCCGGGGGCGCCCTCCGCGCAGGGGCGCCAGGGACGCGGCCGACCCCGGCCCGCGCGCCGCCCCTCCCGGCACCTGCCACCGCTCGGCCGGGCCCCGCGCCCCCGCCCCCGGCCCGGAGCGCCGCCCGCCGCCGCCGCGCGCCAACTCCGCTCGGCCCGCGCCCCCGGCCCCGCCGCCGCGCCCCGCCATGGCCCGGCGACCCGGGCCCGCCGCCCCGCGCCCGCCGCCCCCCGCGCCCCGGGGGCTCCGCTGAGCCGGCATCGGAGGGCCGGGGCCGCGGGGCGGGGGTCCCTCTCGATCGCCCGCCTCGGGGGTCGCGGCGCCCCGCGCCTCCAGCCCGGACCACCCCGCTGCCGGCCACGTCCATGCCAAGGTAGGTGGCGGTGGGGCGGGGGCGGGGGACCCGGGCGAGGGCTCCGCGGCGCCGCCGGTTCTTGGCGCGTTGGCCGTGGACGGATTGATTTCTTGATTTCGGGAGAGCAGTGTCCCCACCCGCGCGTGCCCATCAGGTGGGCCCCCGTCGCGTGCCCCGGGCCTCTGCCTTGGGAGAAGGACGGGAACTTTGACCGGGCCCCTCTCCAAGGCCACGAAAGTTCTTTTGGTGCCAACCCCGAAGCCCAAAGCCGGCCGAGTCAGCGCTGCAGGAATTTATTCAACAAGTCAGGCTGCCGCCGGTGGCCCGGCTGTCTGTCTGTCCGTCCCGCGGCCCCTCCGCTGCTGCAGTTCTGCGACCAGCCCGACCAGAGCTGGTGCCGGGGTCCAGCAGGGCTGAGCCGGGAGTGCTGGCCGCGGCAGAGTGCAGCCGGGTGCAGTGGGGGAGCCCCGGGCAGGGTTTAACTTTCCTCCAGGCTGGGGTGGCGCAGGGCCCCCCGCGAGGCCGGTCCCCAGCCGGCGGCCCAGGCTGCACCGCATGGAGCCAGGCCAGGGTCGGAGCTGGGACTCCAGGGGCTACAGGGATCCTCGGCGGCGCTGGGGATGGTTATATAATGAGTGTTTATGATGATTAGGTTTTAATTGTCAGCTGGGTGGTGTGTGTAGGGGGCTGGGGGGCAAGAGGGCTCGGCAGGGGCTGGGAAGGCCTCTTTTGGGGGAGGTCATGATACCTGGGGGAGGGGGCTTTGGATGGGCCAGGGCGAGGCATCTGCCAGTCTTGCTGTCTGTCCCTCTTCTTGGTCAGGATCCTGGGGGCTTCAGAGTGGTGGAGAAGACTGGGGATCTGGGGCGACTCCTGAACTATAATCTGGTTTTGCGAATCTGTGTTCCGGGGTCAGGTGTGTGTGTGTGTGTGTGTGTGTATAAGAGGGCGAGAGAGGGTGAGAGAGGCTGCGTGTCTCTGGTGTGGTGGGGTCTGGATGTTTGCGAGTGTCCTGGGCTGGAGAGCTCAGGCGGGCTTCAGTAGGCGGCCAGCCTGCGTGTCCCTCACTGCCTGGGGGATTCGACCCACAGACCCCTAGACGCACAGACCCCTGCACTGCCTAGGGACAGGATGCCGGGCAGACAGAAGTGTGGGTCCCTGAGCTAGGGGGGACAGGGCTTGGAGGTTCGGCTGCATCCCCTTCGCCCGGTCCTCAGGCCCTACCTCCACTGCGAAGCCACCTCTTGGGTCAAGTCTCCCTCAGTCCCCAGGACCTCTGGCTCCAGAAACTCTTCTCTTCAGGACAAACTTTCTGTTTAGGCTCCAGGTCCCAGGACTGGGCTGGGCACTGGGCAGGAGTCTAGGGACCTCCCTTTCCCCTCTGCCTCAGCCATCACCTGAGTCCTGGGAGGGGATGCAGTGGGTGACAGGTCATGACAGGACAGGGTGACACTGAGCAGGGGCCAGGCAGTCTAGGGGATAGGGAGAGGGAAGAGGGTATCCTGAGGCGAGCCAGGTCGCCTGGCAGGAGCTGGTTAACCTCCCACATCCGCGGGAAGCCTGGCACCAGACATGTCCCAGCTCTGGCCTCCCGGCTGCTCAGAGCATCTCCTGCCCCCGGGGCCCAGGATGGGCAGCTTGGGGGAGGGGCTGCAAGCTGCAGGAAGCCTCAGCCCTTTCCTTGGACCAGGGGCCTGCGGACCCCACTCCCCAGTTCCTGCCTCTCGCTCTCCCCCTCCGTTTCCGAAGCCTAGGGGCTGAGAGGGCATCTCGCGGGCCCACCAGGGGGCGCCAGGCAGTCCTGCATCCCGGGCTGACTCCCCTTGACCTTGGGTGGGCAGGTGGGGGCGGAGATGGCTTCTAAGCCCCTCCGCACCCACCGCTCTGGCCTCCGGGAGCCGGCCAAGCCCAGAGGCTTCCAGGAACCGCCCGGCCAGTCGCAGGCTCTTTGTGGTTTGGGGCCCAGCGCCCCACCCTGGCCGAGCCGGCGGGTGGCCCCTCCACTCCCCTACCAGGTCCCCTTCGTCAGGCCCCTCTCCTACTCTCTGTGCCACCTTCACCCTGCAAGCCAAGTGTGGCTCCTGGGCTCGGCTCCCAGGGCGGTCGTCCCTGGGTCCCCTCGCCCCTCCCCCACCGCGGCGGGCCGATCTTTCCAAGGTAAAGGAACGGGGCTCCCGTGGGGGTCCTCGATCCCGGACGGTCTCCCCACAGCTGCCTTGTTCTCTGATTCCCCAGCCCCGCATGAGGGTTGCTCGCAAACTATGTCTGGAAAGAGGGGACCCAGAGATGGGCGTGGGGGTCCAGGGGCACCCCACCAGCTGCAGGGAGCCGGCCCCTTCCCACTCTTGTGCTCCCCTCCCTCCCCTCCCCCTTCCCTTCCCTCCTTCCCCTCCACCTCTGACCCCTTCCTCCTCTCTTCTGCAGAACATTTTCTTCCCACATGTTCCCAGGCTGTCCCCTGCTTAATGTCCTCCACCGACCCTTGTGTTCCGGGAATCTGGAGCTCAGAGAGGGTGGTCCTTAGGGGGCAGTCTGTGGGCCCAGGGGTGTCTGTGTCTGTGACCTGCCTGAGGGCTGGGGACCTCTGGGTCTTCCCCCACCTTGGCCTGTGGTCCTGAGGTCCAGGAGATGTGGGCTGAGTCTCCCTCTCACGCCTGCCAGTCCAAAGGGGCAAGAATACTGGTCTGATTTGATGATTTTCTTTCTTTCCCTGTTACATTCACCAGGCGCCTACTGTGTGCCAAGCCCTGTTCTGGCCACTGAGCAGTGAAAAGGGGCACACAAACCAGACCTGCCTTCTAGGGGCTTCCGTTCCCATGGGGGAGGGTCCGACCTCCCTGCTAGGTGCTTGTGGGGACAAAGCCACAGATTCTGGATTCCCTCCGTGCTCTGAGTGGAAACTTGGGGAGTGCAAACCCTGCGGAGCTGGAGCCGGGTGGGGGTGGGGGTGGAGGCCTCTGGAGGCCACAGTCTCCTTTGGGGCCTGGTTCAGTGGAGATCTGCTCCTGCCTCCTGGACCTCGTCCCTTCATCTTCCAGGTCCAGCCTCTGCCTGCTGGTCCCTTCTCTTTCTCTCTCTCTTTGGTACTGGGGCACTTACCACCGAGCCACATCCCCAGCCATTTTTATGTTTCATTTAGAGACAGGGTCTCAATAAGTTGCTTAGGACTTCACTAAGTTGCTGAGGCTGGCCTCGAACTTGTGATCCTCCTGCCTTCGCCTACTGAGCTGCTGGGATGACGGGCGTGTGCCAGCACCTCCCCCCCCAGCTGTCTCCTTCCCCTGGATTTGATCAGAGCGATCTGGCTAATGATGCATCCCAAGAAGGGCATTTGGCTCTTGCCTTTCCCCCGACTCCCTGCTCTGCCCTACTGAGCAATCAGGGCCACATCCTGCCCTTCTCTGGGCCAGGGACTGAAGCGTCCTCTCTGGACTGCTCAGCTCTTATTCCAGCCAGGAGAGAGAGGAACACATCCGTGGCCATGACCCAGAGGGGCGTCCCCTAGCACCACGGGAGCACTGGCTTGTTGTACAGCTGGGACGATATCTTCCACCTTAAAGGGTTTTTGTGGGTGGGGGATGGAGGGAGCCCATTGCTCTTGCATAGCACCAGAAAAAAAAAAAGGCTTTTCTGAGGTTTGGAGGTGTCTCTAGAGCGCTCGGGGGGGCCTCCTGTTTTCATTAAGGTACTTTCCAAATTTCTTTCTGTTGGTCTCTCCGTTGCAAGGGGGGGCAGGCACTGTCCAGCGAGTTTTATATACAGGGGAGGAGGCCTGGCGAGGCCCTGAGTGGGCCCTGGACTCTGGGTCCATTGCTTTTCCTGCTCCCCCCTCCCAGGGCCACCTGTACCTTGATTTGTTAGCTGAGGCAGGACCCAAGGCCCTGGGTACAGCAAGGAGAGTACAGAATGACCAGCAGAGGCACCCCTGGGAGCTGTTTAGACACTGAGGGGGGCTCAGACACAGCCTGGCTGGCCACACTCATCAGAGGAGACCCTGAAAACAGACACACATCAAGGCCTGGGGACAAACACGGGTCAGGTCCTTCGATAACCAGGGGGCTGCCACCTCCTGTCCGGATAGCCCTTGATCTGGTGGCCTGGCATTGGACCTAGATCCAGATCCCGGCTCTTTCTCTGAGTGACTCTGGGGAGCTCTCTCCCCCTGTGCCTCGGTGTCCCCCCCACCCCCGTTGGTAAGCTGCCTTATTTGAGCGGTCACAAGGTGCCTGGTGTTATAGTAGATGCTCATAAAAAGGTTGGCTGGTGCTCCCAGCTGTCCTGGAGGGGTCGCTGGTCCAACTTGCTGAATGTGCTACAGAGCTGGGAGGGCTGGCTGTTGATTTGTGACAAGGCCAAGATTTAAGATGTGGACAAGCTCCTCTGATGGTGGTCCACTTGGGGCCATGCTTCAGCCACTCGTCTTTAAGCTGGAGGAGTGGGGAATGGCTCAGCTTCTCTGAAGAAGATCTGAGGGGTTTGGTGGACCACACCCCCTACAGGTGCTGCAGTCTGACCAGTCAGGCCAGGGGCTCCAGTCTGCATCAGGGGAGGCCCTACCTGCAGAGCCAGGCAGGCGACCTCTCTGCTCCTCTCTGGGTGGTTTGGTGCGAATCCGCTCCTGCCCCTGCAGAGGAAATCAGGCAGCTGCAGCATAACCAAGGAGGGTCCCAGGGAAGCAGACGGTGTGGAAATTGTCATCTGAGGAATGGTTGAGGGAGCTGGTGACAAGAGGCCTGGGGCAGATGAGGCCCGGGGTGGGCAGGCTGTCGGCGTGCATCTGCAGGGCTGTCATGCGGAAGAGGGGCAGCCGGGTTCCGGCTCTGGGATGCCGGCCCTGGAAGGATCTGGGAGGCAGGTTCCCCGCAGCCTGGCACAGACTTTCCTGCAGACCACCAGACGCCGGCTGTGCTCCTTTTGCCTGTGTGAGGGGTGAGTGTGTCTGTGTGTGAGTGTGTGTGAGTGTGTCTGTGTGTAGCTGTGTGTGTGTGTTGTCTGTGTGAGTGTGTGTGTGTATGTGA